TATTTTTAATCATTGCTGAGTTTTCTGTGACACAAACAGCCATGATGGAGTGAGCCTGAGCTGTCATCTAATTAATGTGCTTGCACATTTTTGTTTCACCATATGGTGTTTGTTCCAGCCCTTATGCCATCAGATTGATGGAGTTGGACCATACTAGGTGGCTGTTGTAACATTACTTCTGGGTTTTACTTTACTCAGTGAATGTTTTATTATTAACAAGTATAATCTGTGGAAGTTTCCTTATCAGCAATAAGTTCTTTATGTTTCATTTTTTTTAATTTTATGGCAATTATTAGAATCATTGGCTTCCAAAATTTAAGGAGTCCTTAGCCATCATATATTCTTATTCTCTCACTTTGAAAATGAAGAATTAGAAGCCCAGGGAGATATAGTGATTTAGGCAAGACTTTAATCTTGGTCATTTCTAAGATCATGCCTCATCTTTCATTATTCCTGAACCATATTTATGTTTTTAGGAAAACATGTTTCTAGTAGCTTTTTATCAAAACCCACTGAACTCTTTTATATGAAAGGATTAGTATTTGTAATCACAAGTTGTGATTAGTTTTTTATTTCTCTCTCTCTCTCTCCAACTATCTCACATCATGTTTTGTCACAGTAAAGAGACTTTTATGAAGAATGAATCTACCTTTATGCTTAGGAATTCAAATATAGCCAAACTCCTTTCTGATTTGCCTGGCATTTTTTCCTGAATCTTAGCAATACAGATTCCAGAGCCTGGGCAGAGTTCCCTCCGGATATTATCACACAGTGTTATAATAATTGTAAATGTTAAGAGAATCCCAGAAGCTGTTGGAGGACATGAAAATTGGCCTTTGAAGCTTTACTGACTGTCCAAGTCACATGAAGGTGACAGGATGTCTGACTGAGATGTGGCCACAGAGGAATTGGTACTGATTTTCAATGCCTTACACCTAGCAGGCACTCAGTAGAGATGGGTTAAATCAAATGAAGTGGTGGGTGAAGTCACTCATGAGAAGATGTTTTGCCTAAAGGAAACAGTGTCTAAATAAATATGAGTCTAATAAATTAATTGTTCTGATAAATGGCCTTTGTAGGCTATTCAAAGGTGCTTTTAAATGGTGATATCCAGTAGTTATAGTCCCTTGACTAACCAGCAGCATTACTGCAGAGTTGTTTGGAGCTTGTTTATATGTGTAGTGGAAAGTGGTATCTGAAAAAGAGGTGGGTTCCAATAGATGACTCACACTGGAGGATGCGAGGGTTTGGAAAAGTGATATTAGTAACTCTCAATTTTTATTCCATTTAATAAGTGGAAAGACATTCACCAGATGTCTTTGATCAAGAAGTTGCTAGATGAGGGGACAGAAGTCTTTTGGGGGTCATGGTCAAGTTTCTATTGAGTCCCAGCCGAATGCTGTGTACACAGCATTACCAAAAGTGAGTTCTTGGTAAATAGTTATTAGTTGATGGATTTTAAAAATAAAAAAAAAAAAACAGTGAATTCTCCAAGATATGGGGAATTCAACACACATACCACTGTTAAAGAAATATATCTGTGACATAAATTGGGAAATATTAACATAGGCGAAATCTTCCCCCTTTGATTAAAAAGTACATATAAGAGCCCCTCAGGGTGTCTGAGTGATGATAACACCAGACATTTCCTGCTGACATCTGGCTTTATTTTAAAGCCTCAGCTGACAATTCTGATAGGTGCCTGGAAGGGAGTTTTCCTACTAAACTCCTCTCCAACCTCTTATTGAACTTGGGCTTAGAGACCAGATAGGAATGGATAAGCTAAGAAAAGAGCTTATTACAGAATGGGATCCTCAATTGTTTGGGGGACCACAGACTCCTTTAGGAATGTGATAATAGCACTGAGCTCCAGAAAATTTATAAGATTGATGTGTGAGTTCATGGGCCCTATGGAGCCCAGCCCAGCCCCCGTGTTAAGAGTTCCTCTTGGAATAATATTGGAAAGATCTTAAAGCATGGTGACGTAGCTCTGAAGAACTATCCTCCCACCTTCACCCCTACCACTTGGTGAAAAATGAATTGTGACTGGTGAGTCCACACTATTTAATGACATAATTGGTTTCTATTTTTTCCCACCACTTCACCCAATCCACTAGCTGGGCCCCCAGCTTCCTGGCAGGATAGAACACAAACCGTTCCAGGGGGAAAAAAAAGTAACCTATACTTTTGAGAACAATTTGCAGTGCAGAAAATGCTTCCAGCAGCCACCTACAGATCTCCTCCCACGTCAAGGGATTTGAGTGGGATGATTTCAGGGACATTTCTTCCCCCACAGCACTTTTCTAGTTTAAATTCTAGTGGATGAGAGACACCTGAGTGAAGAGCCGGGGTTCACGGTGCCCCAGGAAAAGCCCTTTGTGGGAGAGCCAGCTGTGCCCCTAATGGAGGGCCCTGCTTAGCACCACCCATCCTTTCTCAAAAACAGATGAGTTCGGGGGTGGGAGTATAAAAATATTTCCCAATGATAAAAACAGTGTAAAAGCTGAAAAGGAATATGTGTTCCTTGCAGAAAAATTGAACAATAGCATTCATCAATAATCCCATCACAAAGCAGTAGACACATTTTCATGTGTTACCTTCCTGGCATTATACACACACTCACTTTACAAGTTCTTCATTGTGAAATAGTGCAGATGTACAAAATGGTGTGAAGGATAATATAAAATTCCATGTAGCCCTTAACAGCAAAGCCAAAGGCCCTTGCGAACCCCTTTCTGTGCTAAGTGTAATGCTTATTGTCACCTTGCCTGTCTATGAACTTGCTACATACATGTAACTCTAAGTAGCACCTGTCTTCAACCAACTTTTAAAGCTTTTTAAGCACACAGTTTTTAAAATTGAGATCATAACACATATTAATTTATTCATGTGTTTTTCATTTATTTATTGAGATCTGGTTACTACATCTTGAAATAGTCCTCAAGAACATTATTTTTAGTAACTATAAAGTACATTGTCAAATGGATGCACCAATTTTATTTAACCAATCTTTTATTGGCTATTTAGATAAGTTACAATTTTTCCCTATTATAAGTGACACTGATGGGCATTCTAGAGTACCTTTGTCTAATCTTCTATTAGAAGGATAAAAATGGATAAAATATGAAATTCCTGGCTAAAAGAGTATAGTTGTTTTTTAAACCCATGAACAGGTTTATACCTCTTCTGGCAGTGAGAGGTAGAAATGCTCTTTAGAGCAGTTGAGATCTTGTACAAAAACTCAGAGTGGGGGATAGTTTTCACCTTTCTCTAGCCCATCTCTCTTTGAACTATACCTCTGGTCCCTTGCTAAGTCCATGACTTTATATGGGACACCCGCTTACACCCCTTCTGTGGGAGGAATCCTTCCTGCTGCCCTGGTGGAGATGGGGCTGGTGCAGGGGCTTCCTTTCCATGCTGGTGGGGCTTTCCTGGGGCAGCAGTCTGAACCATGACTGGAGGTGGGATGAGATCGTTTAATCTCACAACTGTCCTGTGACCATAGGTATTACCGTACCCTTTTTGAAGATGAGGAAACTGAAGCTCAGAGAAATAAGCAGTTTACTCCAAGTCCCAGCTTATTGTAGATTCAAGCCCAGGACAGTTGGATTTCACAGCTCCCCCATAGTGCCCCCAGGACAGGAAGGAGAAGAAAGTGTTTGTCTCCATGGCTTCTGGTGGTGGATGATGTATAGGGCATTCATCCGATCTTATGGACAAACCACCTTTGAGGTTTATGATATACATCCCTGAATTCCCATTACTGTCCATTCTGATCACCTACCCTGTTTCATAGATGTTCAAATCACAAGTGTTGATGAAGAAAGGGAAAAAGCTTTCTGGTCTCCATTAAGCTAAATGACCTTCATTGCTAGGATATGTTAAACCAGACATGGAATAGCAGCAGGATTATTTTATCTCTGCTCAGCAGAGTCCAGATAATGTAAAAAGATACTATTTCTGTGGTTTTGTTTCTTTTGGTCTCTTTTGGAACTTGCTAACTGGAAAGAGTAGCCTTGCCCTCTGCCAGCATGAGGCCTTGATGAATTATGTGGATTTTAATAATGCTCTTATCACCAAGGAGACCAGGCCTGCCTCTGCAGTTGGGTCTTTATTAGCACATGCTTATATTTAACCTGTTGGCTTTTTTTTTTCCATTTGGATTTATGATCTGCCCTTGCTGCCTGTGAAATCTTTGGACCTAAGATAGTTGAGATCCTATGCCAAGTTCATGGTTGTTCTCATGCTGCCAACTCTGATGGCAAATTTGCTCACTGTTGACATAGACACATCTCATCTTGCCTTTGCCCTAATTGATTAGGTGGTGAATTGTAATAATCACTGTGATCTTTTTCTCTTTGATCCACCTCTTCAAAAGCACAGTGACAAACAAATCCCAAGCCACTTCAAGACACACTCTTGGAAGTTAATGTTGTAGCCATGTGTCAGTCATCGTTTACTCCTCCCCTCCAAAGTAACACTGAGGGATCTATGTTGATTGAGGTTTCTTGTGCTCCAGGAATACCTTTTTGTTTGAATTTGCCATCAGAATTACAAACTTTGGAAGCTAGAGACTGAACACCACTCTGAGCCTCAGTTTCCTCACCTGTAAACTGAAATCATAACAGTGCCCCACCTTTGAGTTTTAAGGATTAAAATAAATTAATTCATGTAAAGCACTTATGACCTAGCCCACAGTAAGCAGAAAAAGTACTAGCTATTGTTGCTGTTGATTTCATAATACAAAACTAGCTTATAGTTAAGTTTGAGGGCATTGTTGTTGGCACCAACATTTCACAAGTAGAACTGATCTTGAAACTTAAAAAAATGCCAGTGTGTGAGGAAACATACAAGGAGTTTTTTTTACAGAATTTTTTAATAGTAGCCAAAAGCTGGAAACAGCAGGAATATCTGAATTATATAGACTTGTAAGTATATTACAAAATATAAGTATAAAACACAATTATAGAGCACATAAAATATAAAGTGTGCTCCCAGACATTCATAAATATATTTGTCCATGCAAAAGAGTAAGTGTGGGAGACCGCGCCTGGCGCTGGGGACAGAAGTTCTGTTGGGAGACCGGAATCGCTGGACAGAGTGGCTGGGTTTCAGGGGTTCTTGACCTTTGACATTCGTGAAACGTGTAAACAGCCCTTCCCCTCAGAAGACTGTTTATATGTGCTTCCAGTGAAATATATAAGGTATAATAAAACCCAGTTATATTGAAATACAGTTATCTAAATATTTAAAAACAAGTTTGTAATAAGAGTTACATACATGCATTTTAATCACTGCATTAAGTAAAAGACCTGGTAACACATCTAATAACTAATACACCTAACATGAGGTAAGAGCAAATGATATTTTGAAATACGTCAACCACACTGTGATTTAAAAATATAGTGATTTCTATGGTAACAGATTCACAGGTCTGCTAATGCTTCTGTGATTTGTAGCCTCTATTCATACTGGAAGGAAATGCTGAATTTCAGTTCTTAGTGAAACTAAAGTTTTTTTTTTCTGTCGAAGCTCACAGATGTCCTGAATTTATCTCTGGACTCTTTGGGAGTCTGATAATTCTAGGTTAACTATCTTGTTTAAGATACTCAGTCCGTTGTGATTAGCTTTGCATTGTATTACTTTAGTAATTTAAATGACTGAGGTAAATAAATACAACAAATATAATTAACTTTGACTTGTTGGTCTATGAGGATGTCAGCATTTTAAAGAAAAGAATGTAAAACATTAGATAAAAGTAAGACACAGGGGTAATACTGATGTTTTTAGGAGGACCTAGAAATAACCATTAAATCAGTTCCCAACTCTAAGTAAGGGTTTAGATTTTTTCTTTGACACCAGCTTAGCTTTTTGATGTAGATAAGTTAAATCACCACAGTAGTTTAATAGATGATTTTTTTCTGCTGCTTCTGCTATTAGAAAAATAAATTTAGGGCAGAAAAATGTCCTTTTTTAATACAAGAGATAAGTACTGAAGGGGTACCATGTCATGATACCTATAATTTACTTTTGAATACTTTTACATAAAGTACAAAGTAAATGTTTTAAATAATATGCCCATCATTTAAAGAACCCCAAACAACAGAGCTAGAGCTCCCAGCCCCTTGACTGCCCCCATCCCACTGGCCCCTGCCGGTCCAGTTCTGGTGATCAATCAGCTCAGCCTCCTTGCAGATATTTGGATGCAGTTAGACATCTAGGCAGATACAGATATAAAAATTAGTCTGTGGTGGTATTTTAAGGACTTAAGTGTTGTCATTTTTTGTTTCACCTTGCCATTTGCTTTTTCTTTTTTTAAAGTAATCTCTACTTTTTTAGAGCAGTTTAGGGTTCACAGTAAAATTAAGCAGACATTACAGTGAGTTTACATAAACCCTCTGGCCTCACGCAGGCACCGCCTCCCTGTACCATCCATACCCCACCAGAGTGGGGGCAACCGAGAAGCATACACATCATAATCACCCAGAGTCGATCCTTTACCTTGGTGTTCACTTGGTGTTGTACATTCTTTGGGTTTTGACAAACGTGTAAGGACAGGTGTCCACCATTACAGTGTCTTACAGAATCGTTTCACTGCCCTAAAAATCCTCTGTGGTCCACCTGTTCATCTCTCCTGCCCCCAGCCCCTGACAGCACTCGTCATTTTATTGTCTCCAGAGTCTCACCTTTTCATGTATGTCATGCGGTAGGTAGCCTTTTCAGATTGACTTCGTTCACTGAAGCTCCTCCAGACCTTCTCATGGTTTAAGAACTTCTTTTTTAATCACTCAAGTAATATTCCATTGTATGAACATAGCACTGTTTGCTGATCCATTCACCTGGGGAAGGATATGTCTCATTACACTGCTGCTCTTTCATGCACAAAGCAAATGAGTCATAGTTTATGTTAACCCGATTCTCCCTTGAAGGGCACCTTTGCTGTTTCCAGTATTTCCCAGTTACAAACAATGACTATCCTCATACTCTTCCTCGTTCATACTCTAGAACGAGTAGTAAAGTCAGTGTTAAAAAATGCCTGTGGACACTTACTCTTTAATGTTAGTGTGAATAGTATTAAACTGCCATTTTTTGTGGTTCAGATCCATATGCTATTTTGCTCCATTCATTGACACCCAAGAAAAGCAAACAACAACCACACTGTTACCAAGTGCAGATCTGAACAGGCTGTTAAAACTAGTGAAGAAGGAAAGTTTTGTCTGCATCATGTATGCTTCACCTAATAGTGTGTGCAGGCTTTAAACCTAAATATCCAGAAGTATCATCCATGGTTTAAAAGGAAGAGAGGAAGGAAGGAAAGAAGGGAGGGGAGGGGAGGGGAGGGGAGGGGGAGGGGAGGGGAGGGGAGGGGAGGGGAGGGGAGGGGAGGGGAGGGAGGGGAGGAGAGGAGAGGAGAGGAGAGGAGAGGGAGAGGAGGAGAGGAGAGGAGAGGAGAGGAGAGGAGAGGAGAGGAGAGGAGAGGAGAGGAGAGGAGAGGAGAGGAGAGGAGAGGAGAGGAGAGGAGAGGAGAGGAGAGGAGAGGAGAGGAAGGAGGAAGGGAAGGAACTGTAGTTGTGAACTCAAAGAATAAGTTTGTTATATTGACAAAGTTTACATCTCAGCTGCCTCATTTTGCAATTTATCATTAATCCTATTTTGACCGAGATTATTTGCAATAAGAAATTCACTAGAAAATAAATGTTTTAAAATGCTTTCTCTTATGATTTCTTTTTCTAAAATGTAGCCTGAGTCTGTCCACCTGAAAATTATGTAAACTATCCTGGTTAGGAAGTTCCATCCAGGCTTCCGTTCCCAGCTAATTGAGTTTCCCCCCAAATGACTTACATAATTGCATCAAGCCTCATCTTTGATTTGGTTATGTATTCCTGGTTTCAATAGCAGACGTTGTTTTTCTTTTTTTCTTACTTTTCTCAATTGTGTCTGATGCTCATTCTCTGTGAAGAAAAGCTGGTGTGTTGACTTTTTCCCTTGACATTTACTATGTATAAACATTTTATGTTGCTTGATTGATACTTAAATTCTTTGGTAACTTCTCAAAGAATGTCAAAAGAGTGAAGGGTCCAGGAGCGTTCTCGTGGTTTGTGTCTTCCTCCACCCTGCTGTCTAACTCACACTGTTGTGTGGGGGTCATTTTATGGAGAGAGTCGACTCAGTGTGAGCAGGTGGTTTCTCTAGCGGCATCATTTCCTGGTCAGTATTGATGGTGAAACATTTGAAACTGAACCACAGGCTTATCTTCAGTGGTCAGAATGCCAGCATTAGGTTAACTCTTTAGACAGGGAATTAAAGGTGTTTATTCGTGTTCTTTCATGAGCAGATTGGCATTTCCTCTTATGGTTTTATAAATGAGATTTCTATTACTGCCCACACATCTTGAAATATCAGTTTCTATAATTGGAATTTTCAAGGAACACTAAAATTAATAAATTTAAAGGGCTTTCTTTGCCTGTAGATGGCAGGGGGAAGTGATGCTTTTGCTGGCCAGGTCTATATAAATTCCAACCAAGGACATATTTATTACTATAGAGTTAATGAATTTATTTATTTATTCTTTAGTTCATTCACTGACTCATTTATGCACTAATTCAATCAACTAGTATCTATTGAGCTTTACCCTGGGTCAGACACAAGGACACTGAAGGAAGTGAAAGTTAAGACTCAGTCATCTGCATATGAGTGGAAATTGCTCTTGATTTCGTTACAAGTTAACCAAGCATGGAGCAGACATATCTTACTGGTTTTCCCCTTTCTCTAAGGGAGTAATTCCACATGGTTGGTTTCGAAAGAAATAAATTTTGCTATAGACTCTTCTGGTAACATTTATATCCACCTTAGAGTCTCCTTGAAATTGGCTTATTTTCTTCCAGCTGGAAGATTGGAACCCAAAGGTTCATCAGGGGAAGTGCTTCACGTTGTTTTATGCAGAAGCTGACCTTGAGAAGTTGACCTTGAGAAGTTATACCGTGTGGCTGGTGGGCTTTGCATTTGTGCTCTCCTTACAGTGAGGGATTAGGGACTGGGAACACTGGATTCCAGAGCACGATCTCTAAAACTTTTAGACCTGACAGGGACCTGAAAGAGTTTATCTTGTTGAGAGCATTTCTTTGTGCAGTTGTGGCAACTGAAGCTGAGATAAGTCAAGTGTCCTGCCCAAAGTGACAGAGGATGAGTGAAAATACAAGTCCTAGGACTGGACCTTAAAGCCAGGAGAAGGTTGAAGCTAACAGTTCTGGTTTTGGCATTTTGAATTCTTGCCTAACCACTTCCTAGCTGTGAGACCTTGGACAACACATTCAACCTCTGTGTTATGGTTTCCTTGGTTGGAAAAATACTGATGATGATAGGATTGCTGGAAGGATTCAATACAATAATGCAAGTAGGACTATGGCACAATGTTGCAACAAGCAAGGATACTTACTATTGATATTGTAAAGTAATCCAGGGCTATGGAACAGGGGTATTGTCTATTCTAGGTAATACTGTTTCCCTGGTGCCCTAGAAACTGGCTGGTATGTATCCAGCCCTCAATTAAATTTGTCAAATGGATATTTTTCAAATGTAAATTTGGTAACTCACATAAAGAATAAATGATACCAGGGAAGGGAAGATAACAATGATGTTTATGTGTCGCTTAAAACAAGAGGGTTGTGAAGTCCTGTGCCTTTTTAGGTGGAACAAGTCTGTTTTTAAATGAGCCACTTCCGTAAATAATAATTAATAGAGGTATTTGGCAAAATGCCTCAGCTGTTGATTTCATCCAGCAAAGCTTGCTTCACATCCAAGCAGTCTCAATCCACAGGTGACTGGTTGATAACACCACTGTGAGCTCTGCCTTTAAACAGAGCCAGAACCACACCATTATCACCTCCAGTGGGACCACCTTTATCAGGCCCCCATCATCTCCATAGTGGCTGGATGATTTCAGGGGCCTCCCACATGGTCCCCCTGCATCTGCCCTTGACCCTTTGCTGTCCACTCTCAACTCGGCCGCTAGAAGTTTTCTTTTAAGCCTAAATCACACGATGTCTCTTTCATGTCTCCTTCTTCAGTGACATTTCAGTGGCATTACCACATCCTCCTAGTGATCCCTGAGGTCCAGCACAGCTTGGTTACCTTGCTGCTCCGGACCTCATCACCTACCCTCTCCCCTTTCCCTGCACCACACTGGCCCTTCTCTTATTCTGCATTCACCTTGGGGCCTTAGCAATTGCTATTTCTCTCTATGTGGAGAGCTCTGTTACACACCCATGTGACTGACTTCTTTCTCTTCCTCCTGTTATCTTCTCCGTTGTTCTTAGCTAGGCTGTTTTGTATCCCCATGTTGAAAGTCATCTCCATACCCCGCCCCCAGTCCATCCCTGCATTCCCTACTTTTCTTACCCAATTTGATTTTTTCTTCATAGTATTTATCATCACCTGCCACATGATGTGTTTTCTACTTATCAGAGTCTGTCCACACTAAAATATAACTTTTATTTTTATCTTTCTGCTATAGTCCTAATATCTGGGATAGTGTCTGGCACAGAGCGCATCCAGTTAACATTTGTCAGATAAATGAATGAGCGGCTGCTTTATTGTTTATGTTTCAGGCTGTCTTTGGAAGGTTACTATAAACATGAACTGGATTTATCTCGGCAACACTTTAAGAATGTCTGTCTTTCTCTATACATGTATTTTCATCTCCTCATTTTTGAAGAAAAGTCATAAAACAAGAGGCAAAACCAAGGCATACCTGAAGAGACCTTGTGGTATACAAAGCAAGATAAGTGCACATAATGCCAGGCTTTTACAAGCTAATAAAATAAATTCGCCTGAAGATAAGAGGATATAAGCAGTATGGAATGCACACAGGATTTCTGCAGATGTGGTATCGTTAATGCCAGTGCTTTCGAGTCTAACCTGACTGGTGCTGCAGGAATCTGTCAAGATGATTGTAGGGACAGAAATTTTCTGTTAACATGAAAACCATCCCCCTGTTTAGGTCTCCATTTCCTTCCATTTAACTAGTATTTACTGAGAGCAGAGCACTGCTCCTGGTGCCCACCATGTGGTTTGAGAAGGTGAGAAGTGTGTAAGATGTGTCAGTCACACTGACCTCTGGTTGATCTGTTTAATGGAAAGGAGTATATTCCAAGCCATTTAAAAACAGTGGGCTACCAGCACATACATCATTTGTATCTCAGCCTGGAATGTGTTCTGGAGATTACATTGAAAAGTGTGCGTGCCTTGAATTCTTGAGCATTCTCAATACTGTGAAGGAAATAAGAAAGCCGTTTTGGAGAGACCCAGCTTTGTAGGGACTAGAATGGGTCAGGTTCTCCCAGCTACACGTGGGTGGAATTCTTCCCCACTCGCCATCCAGGGCTAGTGGAGGAGTCTCACCTGGGAAAGGGATGCAGGGCACCTGCCACACTGCCCGCCAACCCCCACCTTAAGTGTTTAGCTTATCTTACTTGGAGAAGGTAAATAAGGCTGTGGCTTAAAGTGCTTTTTAATGACTTTAAGCTTGGAAGATTGTGGAAAACTAAATAAGAGGTGCTGGATGGACCCCAAAATGGACCTGATGATCTCCTAGCTTTATTATGCTAATAATTTAAAAGAAAGAAGGGATTTTAAAAATTTCCTAATAACCCAAAAGGCAGATGATTCACCTGTAGCTAGCAGAAGCAGTTGCACTTTGAATAAGATGTCCATGCGCACAGACAGCACCCCACCATCCACCTGTCTAAATGTCATCAAAGCCCCCAAATTCCACTGTGGAGATAGAAGAGAGAAAACAGCTTCTTAACATAGTTCGATTTTCACAAATTTGAATATTATATTTAGCAGAAAAAACTTTGGCTTTAAATAATTTTAAATTACCTTCCTCTAATCAGAATTTCACATTGCTTTGTCTTCACGCGGGAAAGGGAGTTTGCCTGTGGCTGTGTTTCCGAAGACCCTTTTCCATGGCTGTTGACACCTTGCCCTGCTCCCTTTCCTGGGGCAGAATCATCCTTCTTTCCAGCTAACCCAGGCTTTGTCACGTCATGTCTCTGCCACACTGCTGCCTGAAGTTTTTCTGTGTTTCTCTGTGACAGTCTCTCTCCCTAACTCAACCAGCAACTGAAGCTGAAATTTAATTTAAATTATTGTCAGATTGCGGAAATAGGCCTGCCGTGTGCGTGCTCTTCCCCGCGGGGAAGTGGAGGAGTGGCTGAAATGAGAAATGAGCTGGCTGCTGGAGACAGTCATGAAGAATGTGTCTGAAAACAGGGATGGTACGAAGGGAGGGTTCTCTGTGTGCTCTATAATGAAGGGCTCGATTTATGGGCTCCCGGGAAACCATAGTAAAGAGCAAAAATTTCCATTGGGGCCTGGAGGTTTTGTTTCGTTGGGGAGCTGATGTTTGACGGAAGGTCTCCCATTGTTGGGGAAAGTGACATTTTGCTGAGTACACTTTGAAATGTTATTGTACTTTATGTGATGTCATCTTAAAGATGCAAGCATGCTTCTAAGAGAAGAGTATCAGGTAATTTCCCTCTTCCTAGAAAGGTCTGTGTTCAGTGGCATTGATCATTGAATAGCTTCCCAAAGTACAGGTGGTTGGGAAGACATGTCTAGTCTTCAATCAAGGGCCTCACATGTTTAGATTCCTTTTCTCATTTATTCTCTCATTCATATTTGTGTTGATTGAGCATCTCTTGCACTTGCACTGTGTTGGTGGTGAGCAGATAAAATGAGGAACAAGCCAGTCAAGTTTCTGGTGACTTCAAGTCTAATGGAGGAGGCAGGTGTTAATTAATAATCACAGTATCAAGAACATAATAACAAGCAGAAATAAAAGCTTTGAAATGGAAAGAAGCATGCTGCTATGAGAGCATCTAACGAAGGACCTTGACCTCATCATGGAAGGTCAGGGAAGGCTTCTATGGGAAAGTGAGATATGAAAGAAAGGAAGATGTTAACCCAGTTGAAGGGAAAAGCAAAAGAGTCAAAGCATGGACACAGCATGTGCGAGGGTCCTATGGCAGGATGGCGCATGCTGCTTTGAAGGCAAGTGTGGCTGGTGGGCGGGAGATGGTGAGACTAGAGCAGTCAACAGGGACCAGACTGTAGACCCTCAAAGGACAAGACCGATTGTTATTGGAAAATCTAAATCTAACAATTTAGATTGTTATTCCAAGAACAGCGGGGAGTCACTAGCAGAGGTGGGGGTGGGGTGGGGAGGATAAGCAAGGGTGCGGTTTGTGTTTTGAGAAGACTCCTCTGGCCACTGAGTGGACAACGGCTTGGAGGAGGCCAAGGGTAGAAGCAGAGGACCAGTGGGAGGCGGCCTCGCCGTCCTGAAGATGGCGTCTGGGGCGGAGCTGGAGCAGGTGAGTTTGAGGGACATGTGTAGAGCTTTGTATCTTTACTGCTTTGTCTTTTTGCACTTTTCAGTGTAGATTAGAAGCCTTGGGTTTTATTTTGACTTCTGTCATTATGTTGCTATCAGACCTTGTACCCGTTGCTTTGCCTCTCTGGATCCCAGTTTCCACATCTATAAAATAATATAGTCAGATTATTTCTTTTCCAATGCCAAAATTCTCTGTGTCCATGTTGATTGGGGTACTACGGGTTTTTCAGGTAAATGATTAAAATGTAAATACAATTAGATGTTGGTTAACAATGGGAGACCCATATATCAGTGTGTTCATGTAACACCTTGCTTCAAGTCTTTTTTTCTAACTCCTTGGATGGTGGAAGAAGACATAAGCAGTTAGGGCACTAATGTGTACTTTTTCATTTATTATACCAAACACAAGACTGTTCTTTAATTAGGATGTTGTCTACTCACCTTAGGCTGCTACAACAAAATACCATAGCCTGGTTGGCTTAAAGAACAGATCATTATTTCTTACAGTTCTGGAGGCTGAGAAATCTTAGCTTCAGGTGCCAGCAGATTCAGTTCCTGCTGAGAGCTCCCTTCCTGGCTTGCAGACAGTCGCCTAACCTTCTCACGGTGCCCTCACCTGGAGGAAAGAGCCAGTCTGGTCTCACTTCCTCTTCTTTTAAGGACATTAAGCCTACCATGCCCCCATTCACCCAATACCTTATCTAAACCTAATTACTTCCCAAATGCCCCAAATTACTTCCCAAAAGCCATCACATCGAGGGTTGGAGCTTAAACACGAATTTGGGGGGAGACATAAACATTCAGTTCAAAACAGATGACTTTTTAAAACATACCAGATGTGATTCATTAGAGAAACAAAACAAAATCCTTAGTATGAGTAGGAGTGAAAGTAGAGATTCTAATGAAGCTGCCCAGTGTGTGCAGCCTAAATGAAGTGGAAAAAGCTAGAGGAGTTTTTGCTAAGGGGCTTCATTTGACTCTTGTGTCCTTCGATTTTGGAACCCTTTGTTAGTGGTTGTAACAGTCATGCTTAGTTGCAACCACAAATAATTTTCAGTGGAGGAGTGTTGATAACATTTTACTGACCTAAAAAAAAAAAATCTAATGACAGGGCCAAAGGAAAGGCAGAAGGTGTAATTTTCTGGTCAGCCTTGGTCAGCTGCCCACAGTGTCCTGGTCCTGTTGAAGTCTTTAAATGAAGATACATTGCCACAGACACACCCCCAGGGTTGCACGACTTAGCCTTGCCCTCAGAGAGGAGCCATGAATTCAAACAAGAGCAGCACTGTTGACCTTCAGACTACAAGTGGGCTGCTTTCTTTGTACCACGTTGCCCAGTGAAATAATCCTGATAAAAGCTTTTTGTTTAGCCCTTGCAAAAAGAACAGGGGTTTAGGGAAGAAATATCCCCCCACCCCCTTCTTAAAAAGGGGTGTGATGTTGGCTCAGCAGTAGCTGTACAGCAGATCTGGATTCAAAGTGGGCATGGGGGGAGGGTTGGCGTAGACAGGTTCTTAGGTCATTTTCGGGGATCTTGTTGCAGCTCTCACACATAAAGACAGACTGCTTCTGCTCCCAGTCCACTTACCATGCCTTTGCCTCTGTATTATTGTTCCTTATAAATTCCAAATGGTGGATGGTGAGGAAGTTCGACACTTACATTTCCTTTTCCTATTCCCATTTCAAGCTGTGGATGAGAACCTGTGTTTTTGACTCTCTATCAGACTGGCCAAAGGAAACCCACCCCCTTTCTTTATATATTCTGTCATTGTTATAAGTGTTTGGGCGGCCACTTGAGAACTATGAGAGGTCTAGACCAGTGGAAGTAGAGCTGCTGCTGCTTAGGTTGGAGGCATTTGGAAGAGAAAGAGTAAAAACCAAACAAACAGAAATGAAGTTAGAAGGTTTCAGCGACCCTTGCAACAGAGAAAGGAGGGTCTGAGTGAGGCTCGTCCTATGGTGTGGGGCAGAGGGAGTACTGTCTGGCAGGAGCTCCTGGGCTGGGCACAGGAATTGGCAGTGGTGGACTCTACTCCTTGCTGCCTGCACAGCTCCAAGCAGCCCCTCTCCTGGGAGCCCAGCAGATCTAGGTCTCTACATCCTCTACCCCATCCCCACCCCTGCATTACAAGCTCAGGCTTCCTTTAAGAAGCATTGATCCAGGGCTTCTTCACAAATGCATCAAGAGAGGAAACTCCAGGTCTGGAGAATTGTGTGGAGCACCTGCTTTAGCCACTGCTCCATACTCTCCTCTGTAAGCAGATTTTCCTCCTTTCCCTGCTAAAAAGTAGGTTTCCTTTTTGCATGTTTTCACCTGGGAAATCTAGGTTTTAAATTCTGAGTATTTGAGCTGGTTTTTCTTCAACCCTAGAGAGTGGAACTGGGCTCCAGTCCCCATCAGCCCCTAGTTTGCTAGATCTTCTGGAGCCATCCCTTGACTTCTGCAAGATGAAATGGACCCTAAGACTATTCCACGTTCCTCCTCCCTCTGAAGTTGATGGCCAAGGTCCCAAACAGACAGTGCCAGACGAGGAAGGTCCCATAATGGCATTACCCACTTCCTGAGAGTTCCCCGTGTGTGGCAGCTCCTCTTGTCTGCAGAACCAGCCTGGACGGTGGTTATCAGCAGACCCATCTTACAGGAAACCAAGGCGGAGGTTTCTTTTCTCCAAGCCCTCACTGACTTGCACAGGGGCATTCTGTGGCCATAACCTCCTTTCCTTGCAGCAGAGAACTGGAGGTGCTTTGTTTTTCTTCATGAGCCAAAGGATGCTTATAAGGACATACCTTCTGTTCTTTAGCAGCCTCTCAGCAAAAGAACAGTGAGTGTCACCCTTCCTTACTTCTGGCCACTGCCAGCTTCTGAACAGGAGATGATCTTGGTACATTTTTTTGGCCTCACCCCTACCATCCATTAGGCTGATCTTTTTTAAAAACGTAAATCATATTTTGTGTTATGCCCCTTAGACTCTCCAGTGACTTCTGTGAGGTCTATACATTGGAGTGGAAAAAAATTACATCTTTATTTTTGCTAACCTCCAATTAAAATTTATATCTCTTTTTATTATAAATGAGGACAACAGATCTCAGCAGTACTGTGACTTAGTCATGAGAAGAATGCACTGACATTTTTCTTTTCACATTATACTGGTTGCATATATCTGTAAATATGTGTGCCCACAATTATTGAAGATGACAGTAGCTATTAGACCTACCACCAGCTCTTATTTAGATAACAAGACAAAGAAGCCATGTTACCATATGATCAATTAGGTTTTTTTTAATATACCAATAACTATATTTTAATATAATTGGTACTCTTAATCAGAAATATACCAAGATGGGGTAGGAGGATGATGGGAGCAGTCTCCCAATTTCAGGAAATAAGGTAAGGCATTGGCTCAAGAATTTAACAGCAATAAATAATTGACTTCAAATCTACCTGCTTTTTTTTTATCACTATATGCAGGCAACTCTAAACAATGTCAAGGGTAAAATACTCCTCCCTGCCAGGGTAAATTACACCCATTGTCCTCCTGCACCCGCACCCTCACCCTCACCCTCACCTGTGGTCTTTCATATTGCTAAATAGTTTATTATTTTACTTGGAGTTTTTCTTTTTGGCATTTAAAAGCATTTTTTAAAAAATATTTATTTATTTATTTAGAGAGGAGAAAGGAAGGAGAAAGAGAGGGAGAGAATCATCAATGTGTGGTTGCCTCTCACACATCCCTCATTGGGGAC